TTCGAAATCATTTCTATCTTTGCTTGCTAGTATTCGCTCTTTCGCTATGTTAGCCCTACCTGCCTTTGTTTACCATGCCTACCTATTGCCATGTCAACCCTCTAACCAACCTGTCCTAGCAACCATTGATTGGCTATGTCACCGCTTTTGCCCAGCCCCTCTTATAGCGTTGTTAGTTGCAGGTGAAGGTGAAGTTTGTTCCTGGTCGGAACACGAATATTTTGGGATATCGCAATATCTCCTGTTTAAATTAATGCACCTTATATACTTGGTAAAGGGTGGAAGGCTCGGCCTTATGCCTGGTGACTTGTTCCACTCTTGCCGCCCTAGTTCCGTGATACCGGTGTTATGTTCCTTGAGTTTGCGTTCCTTACACGGTTGGGTGATTTATGGGACCCCCTTAACAGTTCGCTTTGAATAAAACTCCTCTAGCAAGGCCCAACCTTGGTTTTACCATTTGCCACCTAAGCCCTTTCCCTTGGGTTTTCGCGAGCCCAAGGGTCATCTTTATTGCCCCCCCGGGCCAGTGCTCCTCTGAGTGTTGGTCCAAACTAGAGCCACTTGCAGCGCCACCTCGGGGAAACTTGAGGACTGGTTCTAGTTGTACGTAGTGTTCATCTGGTGTGCCCTGAGAACGAGATATGTGCAGCTCCTATCGGGATTTGTCGGTGCATCGGGCGGCTTTGCTGGACTTGTTTTACCATTGTCGAAATGTTTTGCGAACCGGGATTCCGAGACTGATTGGGTCTTCCTGGGAGAAGGTCTATTCCTTCGTTGATCGTGAGAGCTTGTGATGGGCTGAGTTGGGACACCCCTGCAGGGTATATAATCTTTCGAAAGCCGTGCCCGCGATTATGAGGCAGATGGGAATTTGTTAATGTCCGGTTGTAGATAACTTGACACTTGACCTCTTTAAAATGCATCAACTGTGTGTGTAGCCGTGATGGTCTCTTCTCGGCGGAGTCCGGGAAGTGAACACGGTTTGTGTTATGCTTGACGTAAGTAGTTTCAGGATCACTTCTTGATCACTTCTAGTTTCTCGACCGATGCGTTGCTTCTCTTCTCGCTCTCACTTGCGTATGTTAGACACCATATATGCTTAGTGCTTGCTGCAGCTCCACCATATTACCCCTTACCTACTTGTGAGCTTAAATAGTCTTGATCTCGCGGGTGTGAGATTGCTGAGTCCTCGTGACTCACAGATTCTACCAAAACAGATGCAGGTGCCGAGGATACTGGCGCAGATGGCGCAACTGAGCTGAAGTGGGAATTTGATGAGGCCCTTGGTCGTTATTATGTATCGTTTCCAGATGATCAGTAGAGGAGCCCAGTCGGGGCGATCGGGGATCTAGCATTTGGGGTTGTCTTCTTTTCATTTGAACTTGACCGTAGCCGGTCTATGAGTGTATTTGAATGATGTATGATCTTAATTATGTATTGTGTGAAGTGGCGATTGTAAGCCAACTCTCTTTATCCCATTCTTGTTCATTACATGGGATTGTGTGAAGATGACCCTTCTTGTGACAAAACCACCATGCGGTTATGCCTCTAAGTCGTGCTCCGACACGTGGGAGATATAGCCGCATCGTGGGTGTTACAAAAGGGTATGGTTCAATGAAAAGCTTCCAGATCCACAAGAACAGTTTTGTAAGGGATTGTGCTTCACCAATGTTTATGTGTTCAGAGATGCACTTAGGGATTTTCACATCAGGACTTTGAGGAATTTCCAGTATCACAGAAATGCCCCTGATAGGATTATTGTTTGGTGCTCAGAGAGAGCACATGGATGTGATTTTTATATCTGTGCCTCTAAGATAGCTCATGAGCAAACTTTCTGCATCAAGAAGTGTGATATGCTGCACACTTGTGGAGCATGTGCAGAGAACACAAAGGTTACTACAAAGTGGTTGTCCAAATCAGTACAACCAGTATTGAGAGATGACATTAGAGCTCCTGTGGATGCATTAATAAAAAAGACTAAGACTAAGTTTTCAGTTGATGTTTTAAGAAGTGTGGCATATAGGGCAAGGAGGAAGGTTGTTGATGTGGTGCAAGGTGACCACAAGCAACAATACTTGAGACTGAGGGATTATCTTCAAGCTGTTCTTGACACAAACCCTGGGAGCAGATGTATTGTAACAACATTTGTTGACCCAGAAAATCCTGCACCCACTCCTAGATTCAAGTACATGTTCTATTGTCTGGCAGCATCAAAGGAAGGGTTTCTGAATGGTTGCAGACCATTTATAGGTAATTGTTGTTGAATTTACTGTTCTGAATTTTGGGTCATATTTGGCCTGTAGCTAATGTTTTACTACATCCAGGGCTTGATGGGTGTTTCATCAAGTTAACCACTGGACAGCAAATTCTTGCTGCCACAGGAAGGGATGGCAACAACAACATCTACCCCATAGCTTTTGGTGTGGTTGACAAGGAAGATGGAGAAAGTTGGACTTGGTTTTTAACTCAGCTGAGATGCTGCATTGGTAGTGGTAACAAATTTGGAACATACACAATAATATCTGGCAGGCAAAAGGTTAGCAAGTAAATCATTGATGCTATAGTATAGTACTTCATGGAATTATTTCAGTGTGTTCATGTCTGACCCTGTTTTCTGAATGTATAGGGGTTACTTAAGGCAATAAATGAGGTGTTCCCTGATTCACCTCAAAGATTCTGTCTTAGGCACATATATGCAAACTTTCAAGCAGCTGGGTATAGAAGCAAAGAACTAAAGCACTGTGTTGACCAGGCTAACTACTCTTACACTAGGCATGGGCATGAATTAGGGATGGCAGCTCTGAAAGCACAGTCTGAGGATGCTTGGAAATGGCTTAAAAATATAGAGATCTCTGCTTGGGCTAGGTATGCTATGGATCATACTTGCAAAACAGATCTAGTTGTGAACAACCTTAGTGAAGTCTTCAACAAGATGATACTTGATGTTAGAGCCAAACCAATAAGGACAATGTTTGAAGGGATTAGAACCAAGCAGATGATAAAGAGGCAGCAGACTAGGGGGAAGTTGCAGACATGCAGGTGGACAATCACACCAAATTACTCAGAAGAGAACAAAAAGTATGCCAAGCACTGCCAGGCTGACAAAGCTGGTGAGACAATTTGGCAAGTAACAAGCAAAGAAAACCAATATTGTGTGGACATGGAAACATGTACATGTGACTGCAAGAGATGGGACATGACAGGTTGTCCTTGCAGTCATGCCATATCTGCATTGACAAAGCAAAAGCTCCATCCTGAAGACTATGTTAATGAATTCTTCAAGAAGCCACTGTACCTGGAGGCATACAAAGCAATAATTTTCCCTGTCCCTGGTCCAGATTGCTGGCCTGATACAAACACTCCAGATATCCAGCCTCCTGTGTTCAAAGAAAAGGCAGGGAAAAAGCAGACAACAAGGAGGAAGGGTGAGTTTGAGGTTCCAGCTCCTAGAGACACTAGTAGGATGGGTACTATCACCTGTGGAAATTGTAACAAGACTCTAAGGCCTAGGCTTCAGATGAGGAAGACAGGACATCAGGTAATTTTTCTGAACCTCTTATAAAAATTTCAGTTCCTCTAGACATACTTTTTCATCCAAAATAATTTTTAAAATAAATGTTATGTGTTACAAGCAGGAAAACAGGGCAGTTTATGAAGACATAGCCGGTTCATCTAGAACAGTTCCTCTTGCAACTGCAAGAACCACAACAGTACCTGCTGCAACTCCATCTGCATCTGCACCAGCCCCTTCTGCATCTGGCCCAGGCCCTTCTGCATCTGCACCAGGCCCTGCACCAAGAGCTAAAAGAGGTAGGCCTAAAGGTAGAGGGAGGACTCGTGGATTTACTGCTCCAAGACCTGCAAGCACTTCAGATAATCAAGTTGGGACCAAGAGGAAGAGAATGACAAGCTCCAAATTAAAAGGTTATTTCTATTGCAGTGGTAACTACTGAAGTGACAGGTAAGCTGAGATGAAACCTGTTCTGTGGTCAAGTTGTCTGAACTTATTCTGTGGTCTAAAACCTGTTTGGTACTTTCTTTATTTGTTTGAACCTATTATGTGGTCTGAACCCTATTTGGCACTTTCTGAATTTGTTTGAACCTGTTCTGTGCTCTGAAACATGTTTGGCTATTTCTAAATTTGTCTGAACCTGTTCCGTGCTCTGAAACATGTTTGTCTATTTCTGAATTTGTCTGAACCTGTTCTGTGCTCTAAAACATGTTTGGCTATTTCTGAATTTGTCCGAGCCTGTGAAAATGGGCCTTTGATTGGGCTTTGTTATTGGATCAAACTCCCGAAGCCTTCTGTGTTGTCTATAAGAAGGCGAACCCTCTCTCCCCCCTACCCAAAACCTAGCCGCCAGCACCACTACAACCCAGCCGCCAGCCAAAGAGATGGATCCCGGCCATGGAGAGGTTGTTGATGACCAGGAGGAGTTGGGTAGGGCAACAAGAAGGGTTGCAAGAGAAGAAAGGAGGGCCCATCGACATGAGCGACGGCGACAGCTGGCTGCTAGAATCATGGCAGAACGCAACTCCAACGACGTGAGGCAGTTCAACGAGGTGTTCCCAGCTGGAACCAACATCACTGATGAGCTGATCATTTGGTGGGCTAGAGAGAGGGCAAACTTCCATCGATATCAAGTCACCAGGGCGAGGTGGAGTAGAATTCTTGATTCGGCGTGGTGAATCTATTCTCACTAATGCTTGCTATGGATTTCTCTCTTGAATAAATGTCAGCTTGTATGAATTCTTATCAATTTCTCTGAATGTATGCGAAGTTAACTGGATTTTCTTAATTTCTGCTCTGTAATTGTTTGTGCGTGGTGGTTCATGGTAATTAATGTAGGTCTAGAAGCATCCACACACAAGTAGTAGTGGCCAGCCATGTCTTTAAAGCCAACACCCAAAACGTGTAATCTCCACTTCTCCTCTCTTTCTTTCTACTCGACCATTAGCCTATCCAACTTCCCATCCAAAAAACCACCTTCACGTCGGCGATGGCATTTGGAGAGGGTTGGCATAGGTCCCTACGGGAGCTATGTGCCGGTGATGCCAAGAAGCTGCAGTATGCGCGTGAGGTGAGTTCTTGGTTCAGCAGCCCTACCATGCTGCAGAACCAAGCGCTCGCCGTTAGGGCAGCCGCCACAGACGAGGAGAGGGAGCGCCTGCCTGACCTCCATCACCCCTTGATTGAAAACCTCATCTGGGCAATGGGTGAAGCTAGGGATTCGCCGGACCCTTTTCAGCGAGCCCGTTGGTATATGTACCAAGATCGCCTGAATCTGCGTCCGGTGGATCACCTAGCTGAACGCATAGTGCCAGTGCTGCCCCTCATGAGGATGATGGAGATGTAGCCAGAGCAAGCGCTGCCGGAGCTGGAGCGGCCACCAGTGCGGGAGGAGGAAGCATGCTCATCTAGCAAGAAAAACAAGGCCAAAAAACAGAGCTTCCAAGGTCATGTTCGTCGTTCAGAGCGTCTTCGTCTGCTGCGTTAGTACTTAGGATGCTGCAATGTAGATGATGCTACTGCAGTGTATGATCTACCTGTTTTAAGTTTAGCAACTTAGATCAATTGTATGTGATCCTGCGAAGTACTATGTTTTAAGTTAGCATGGTTGATCTATGTGAATGAAACTTGCTCTGAACTACCTCTGAATATGAATTATTGTGCACTGCCTCTAAATCTGTACAAGTTTCTGTCAACTTTAAACAGCACAAGTTTCACCACGCAATAACTACAGCACAACTACCACCAAGTCTCACTGAATTCAACTTCTTTACTGCATCACTCCACCTCTCTTTACTACATCTCCTCTTTCTTCAACTACTTAACATCAGCCTCACTGGATCTCCACAACTTCACCTCACTCGCCACTTCTCTCACAACCACATCCTCTCTTCACCCATGGCTGGTTCCTCCTCCACACCAGACCCATGGCTCAACCCATTCCCCACTAGCAAGGGTTGGGTTGCCATGCTATTTGGTTCGACGCGCGGTGACCAAGATCTATTTCTGGACTACATGAAGATAGCTACGAGATACAACAGCGCGGATGGACTAGTAGATGCTGCTGACCTAGTCCAGAAGAAGGCGACGCCTCAAGAGAAGAAGTGCATGCAGCAGAGCTATGGAACTAAAGGTAAGGGTATCCTGCCCATCGACACTCTACTATGGGCAACGAGAGAGGCAGAGTCCTCCGATGATGGCCAGCGTAAGCGATGGGAAGCCCACCGCTATGTTGCTCCGACACAAGCTGCAACTGATGTAGCAGTGCAGGAAGAGGACGACGACGACTTGCAGATAGTTGCGCCACCTGCAGAGCAGGCTCGCCGTCGTCCCCCTCCCATCATCGTCATCGACAAAGACGATGAAGAGGAGGAAGTGCAGAAGCAGACAGATCCAAGGCAGATCAAGCAAATCATGCGTCGCTCTGCACGCTTAGCAAATCCTAAAGATGAGCAGTAGATCCAATGTTATTCAAGTTGGCTAAGTGAACCTATCTCTGAAACCTGCTCTGAAATTAGTGTTAGCTAATTCAGTTTCATCAGTGTTCACAAGTTCAGTATCGTCGGTTATGTTTATCTTAAACTTGATGTGCATGTATGTGCTATCTATGTTAGAGAGACTATATGTTATCTATGTTACAGAGAATATGTGCTATCTCTGGTGTATCCAAGATCAGATAATTCTATGTGCTATCTATGTGCTATATATAGGTCAGTACTGGATGCAACAGATTATGAAAACAAATATAGAAATTTAACATCATCATGGACTATAGTTCATAAGCTAACTTACTATCCATACTTGGCATTACAACTTGGAGTTCATAGGCAGTTAATATCTTAAAGCATTACAGATCACATGCAGTGCCATGGGCACCACAAAACAAATCCCCAAAATGATCTGAAACCAGGACAGTTCATAGGCAGTTCATATATAGTATTATAGCTAGCTAAGATGCATATTTGCATCAAATAACATAGCAAGGCCAGTTATATATATAGGCCTCATATATACTTACCATCCAGAGTTGCCACTTCACTCCTCCATCACAACTTCCTTGATCTTGTCCAGCTTTTCCTTGCACCCATGACCAACCTTCGGGAGCTCAGCAATGACATTCTCCAGCTTCTTCTTCTCTTCTTTAAGGTGGTCTCTGTCCACCTCTATCTCCTTCATGGCCTTCCTAGTGTTTTGGATTATATCAGCTTGACTCTGAAGGATGCACCTCTGTTCTTTTTTGAGCTTAAGCTTCTCCATTTGAAGCTCAATCTTTGCCTGCTCCTCAAGTTGCCTCTTCTTCTCCTTCAGTTCATTGATTGCCTGGCTTGTGCAATCCATGTCATGAGATTTGATTCCATCCTGATAATCAAACAACTTGGACACATCATCCACCAGCTGGCTATACTGATTGGCCAGAGAATCAAGCTCCTTATGTAGTTTTGCAACCTCTGTCCCATGAGCCTCATTATCCTGGGCTCTACCAAGGTTCTGCTCATGATACATATCCCAGAGCTTGGTTAAGCACCTTTGCAGAATTACAGGCCAGGGGGCATCTACCCACTCCAGAACATCACAGTTCACACCATCCTGAAAATCAAATTATATTTCCAGTGAACACCACAGATAACAAGCAAATTCAGAATAACAAATCATAAACACATGTGCTATACATAGGTACACTAGCTAGCTATATACTCAAAATACAACACATCAATATGTTTCCAGTGCTCCCTGCTACAAGTACAATATTCAGACATACATAAGTTTTCACACTTAAGGAAAATTCAGAAAAACAACAACTAAACGCTACTCTGTTTCCACTACATAGCAGAAAAACAAGCTAATCAAATCCACACCAAGTTGGTCCATTACCTCAGTAGCACATCCGATGAATCTCCTGCCAGTGTCAGTACCTTCAAATGCCACAAACTTGCCTGCCCTCTGCCTGTGCAGGATGCACCTTCTGTCAGATTCAGTCACAAGCCCACAGAAGCTTGGGTCTATCACAGTGTCAGGAGTTTGCTGCAGCAGCAAAAACATATATGTATCAACTACAGCTCACATATATGAACTTAAATGGAAGAAATCTCGATTATCTTCAAACCCTAACCCTAACCCTAGAACACATGAAGGAGAGGAGAGGATACAGTTAGCTGACTTATGAAATACTCCATCTGCATGCTGCTGAACTCGTCATCATCGTCCGAGGTCTCGTTACTATTGGGCCAGGACAGCATGGTCGGTCGTGGCGTCGCCGGAGAGCGAGAAGAAGCAGAGCAGAGCAAAGTGGGGAGTGAGCTCGGGGGAGAGTGAGGGAGCAGGTGGGGACGAGCCCGGTCGGCCAGCTTATACCTGGTCCGATGCGGCCCGGTCCGACCAGGTGCGACCGCGACGGCCGGGTCTAACGGCTGCGAGGGAGCGCCGTTAGCCGTTACCGCTGGCGTCCACCTGACATGTGGGCCACTGCTGTCAGAAACGGGTTTAAACGCTCTAAAACGGTCAATTCGTCAACTTGGTAGTTTTTAGTCACACGCTTCCAATTTTTTGGTAGTTATCAGCCACTTTTAAAAAAGTGGTAGTTCTGTGGGACGGAAGCCTCAATTCAGGTAGTTTTTTGTCAAACACTCAGATTTTTGCGTGGGCAAAAGTTTTACATAGCCCTTCATGCCAACTAGCGGTACTACTTCAAACCGATATTAACCAACCAGTAGTTGGATGATTAGGCAGATAATACCACTTATCACCATCCATTAAGTATAAAAAATCATAAAGTTGACGCCGTGAGTTTTCATTAATACAGATTATTATTTCTGTGAGAAGCGACATTTTTATCGATAACGAGGGTCTGTGATGATGGTTTCGTCTATCTTAAAACTCCACAACTTTAACCCGATTTTTTGATAAGCATCGTCTGCGTTGTGATCGGCCGATTTATCAAAGAAAATTGAAAACTTTGTTCGTCGGAGAATGAAAAGGAGACGAGGAAGACGACAACTGAACCAGAGAGTTTGGGGACGACGGGCCGCTCGCCGACGCTGACATGCGGGCCATCGCGTCGTCGGGCACGCCACTCTCTCCCCGGCTCGTTATCTCGGCGAGCAGAGCACCGCAGCGCGCACACGCGTCGCCCGCCCGCTCGCTCGCTCGTCCGGGCGCTTCCTCCGTCTCCTCCGGAATCCCGGATGGCCACCGTCGCCGCCTCTCTCCCGCTCCGGGCCGCCGCCCGCGCGGGCCCGGCGCCGCCCCGCGCACCACCCTCCGACGCAGCCTTCTTCCCCGGCCGCCCGTGGCAGCGCCGGCTGGCGGCGAGGGGCCGGCCCTGGGGATCGGTGGGGTGGTTCCGGGCGGAGGCTCTTCCCGGCGGTGCCGGCGGACCGCCGCGGAGGGAGTCCATGGCGCCTCCTTACAATGTCCTCATCACCGGTTCCACCAAAGGTGCTGCCTTTGTTCGTTTCACCGATTTTTGTTTCTCTGAACAAGATTTTTGCCGAATCAATCAATGGATAGAGGGTCGAGCTGGAAACTGGGGACAATGATTGATTTGCTATTCAATCGTGGCGTAGATTGTAGAGGATGATAGAGGCATACATCACTTGGTTGAAATTGTATTGGTTGGCTTCAATTAGCATCTGTAAGCTCTTGCTTGCTTAGTGACCTTTGGATGCTGTTCTAGTGTTCTTCAACAGGTATAGGATACGCGCTGGCAAGGAAGTTCCTCAAGGCTGGTGATAATGTTGTAATATGCTCAAGATCAGGTTAAAAAGAAACACCTGCTTTTAATTGTGACTTTTCTTTAGGCGTTTCATAAAACAAATTGATGTTTAAGGCGCATGTCAAATGGATCCACGTTTAACAGTTGCTGCACTTATTGTAATAATATATACTTATCGCAGAACCTCTCTTTTAGATCATTGATCTGTTCAAAGAGTCTTTTCATGATTTGTTCTTAATGACAAACAAATTAGATGTTTCAGTATTATACACTTCCAGAAAGAATGAAATGGACACATGCAAGTTCCGATTTATACCAGCTTAGCCTTTCCTTGACATGCAGTCTGCTCTATCCTCTACAGCTGAAAGGGTAGAATCTGTAGCCAATGACCTGAAAAAGGAATTCGGAGAGCAACATGTGTGGGTACCTACTGCTGAGCTACTTGGTCCTTATAGTTTCATTCAAGTTTTATTCATAAAAATCGTCAAAATAGTCAGCGCAACACTTTTGATTGCATATGCTCTGTTGTCGCCTTTTTGTGCTATCACAGGGGACTGTCTGTGATGTTAGAGAAGGCGCTTGTAGATTTTGCGCGAGACAAGCTGGAGTATATTGATATTTGGGTACATAGTCACCCCTCCCTCACCAAGCACTTGCATTGCACATGCACTTTTATTCCTGTTCCTTCCTTTTTTATGTACAACTATGACAACCACTCGCTATGAAATGACACTGATGCTCACTGCATACTTACCCTTAATTTGAAATATTTGATAGTTCGGTGTTTGATGTATGAATTGTGCTGTGCAATCCACATTGTTGTGCTTGGAAATTGATAGTTAGCTTACCTTAACTGTTTAAAGTTCATGCATTAAATTGATGGGCTCTGTTATGTCATAAAAATGAAATTGGAATTTCTTCTGAGTTATTTCTATTGATGCAGATCAACAATGCCGGATCAAATGCATATAGTTACAAACCATTGGTGGAAACCTCTGATGAGGCTCTAATGTAATTCTCTATCTCTATATTGGCAAGGCTTGAACATGCACACCTTCATTCAGTCGTAGTTTCGAGTGCCAATAGTTCATTGACTTTTTTCTTTGATTTAACAGTGAGGTGATCACCACTAACACTCTTGGATTGATGCTATGTTGTCGTGAGGTATTGCTTTCCACTCAATATTAGATATTTGTCGTATAGCATGGTGACTGCTGAAGAATTCCAACACTCATCGTCTTGCTATCTTAGGCAATAAATATGATGTGGAACCAACCTCAAGGTGGTCACATATTTAACATTGATGATGGAAGGCCAACCCCAAGGTACCATTTCCATTTGTTCTCATATGTAGTAATTCTGGATACTCAGCTGAGTGTGCTGTCACATGATTTCGTTTAACTGCTCATATAGTTTGAATCTGTGGAATTGAACATAGTTTGATATATCCTGTTCTTTTGACGCTGATATAAGTATCTCCTTTCGTTCTTCTCCACATGTGTGCATTGTACTTGACATACTGAATTGGCATGGCCATATGGCAGTATCAGTTATTTGTATTAAATGAAAGTTGTGCACAAAACGAAATACTAAGGAGACAAACTCAATCATCTTTTGGTAACTACTCCCTCTGTAAAGAAATATAAGAGCGTTTAGATGACTAAACTAGTGATGTAAATGCTCTTATATTTGTCTACGGAGGGAGTATTAGTCTTGAATTCTAGGTAATCATTATTATAATCACCAGGTTTGCAGCTTATGGTGCAACGAAGAGAAGTGTGGTGCACCTTACAAAGTCTCTACAGGTAAAGGTAACATGTGTGACGATTTAACCTGAAATGATTAGTTTCTGTTTGAGCAGTTCCAATGAAGCATTTTGAAATAACAAACTCTTTGCTGTATTGTAACCTCATGAAATTGTCGATAGACCCAAAGCACAAACATTCAACAGTACAATGAGATAACTACTGTTTTATCAATATTTAGAGTCATGTTAAATTTCCAAGTAGTTGCTCCCTCAAACTCATATTTGGGACATCGTAAAGCTGTAATCATCCATAGAGAAAATAATAGGCGATTTATTGCTATGTGCTTGAACTTGGCTCAGTGGCACAAATTTTTATTAAGTTTACATTTATTTCCAGAAAAACAACAGAGCCTTTTGTCCCAAGCACATTGGGGTAGGCTAGAGATGAAACCCCACAAAAACTGTGAGAACCCAAAAGAGAAGACAGAAAGTGCAAACAAGCAAAATAAATCAAGGCAGTATACTGGTGCAGGTCACAGCTTTGCAGCTTTATTAGAAACTGTGTGGAGAAGATAACATGATTCTTATTGCAGGCCGAGTTGCAGATGAATGAAGTGAATAATGTCGTGGTGCATAATTTATAGGTATACAGCTCCACCCTTTCTTTAGTTATCTTTTATATTTTAGAGTTCCTAACTATTCTCTCGCATAAAGATAACTAGAAGTTGGTGTGGTTTAACTAACTAGTTTGTGTAAGGTTCTAAGCATTGGTCCATGGAATATCCGTATAAGTAAATGATCGCCTTTTGTTTCTAAGTTCTGTTTATAACTCTGAAAAGGATAGTCACACACTAACAGTAAGTACATAACTAATTTGTGCAGCCTGGCATGGTTACGACTGATCTTCTTATGTCTGGTGCTACCGCAAAGCAAGTAAGGGATAAGCACAATCTCTTTCTGACATTCTTTTTCTTTTTGCCATTGTTGATAAGATAATTCATGGTTACTAAATTGTAAATTTTACTGATGGCAGGCAAAGTTTTTCATCAATATATTAGCTGAAACTGCTGATGTGGTGAGAGCTACGCCATTGTTCCTTTTTTTACAGGGCCATTGGTCCTTTTCCTCCAGAACAATGTTGAATCTTCTTCTAAACTCTAAAGCTTATGTTTGGCAGCAGTAGTAATAATTTTTAGCTGCTTTAGGCCTGTGTCCATTTGGCGTGTAGAACCGTCCGACCACTTAGCTTGAACGTGGTCTCCAGACTTGTTTATACGTTCCTAAAATTTGTGATTTGGTCATTGTCGAAGGGCTGTTAACCTTTTGTGCTTGCTTTAACAAAGTTAAAAAAATGGCAACTTGAAGTTCTTCATATGATGTCGCAAGGCAGACATGTGTTATCAAATGTGTCGATCTGAAGTTCTGAACAAAAAATAAATAGTTGATCTAATATAAACTGACAAAGTTAGCTTTCGAAGCTTATAACTTTGCTTAAAAATCTTACAGTCTATCCATGACAGGCACGTTTTCTTTGTACAGCGAATGACCGGTAGCCTCTAGGTTAATTTGCGATGGATATCTGTTAATGATTCAGCATACCTGCCTTTAATGTTATTTATGTACACTTTTTAATCATATTATCTGTTTGGTAATATGGTAATATAATCATCAATGTTGACTATTAAAACAGGTTGCGGATTACCTTGTTCCAAACATCAGAGAAATCCCTACCAAGCAATCCATGAAGCCGACTTACATTCGCTTTCTCACAGGCTTGAAAGCCTACTCCAGAATATTTTCAGTAAGAACTCTCTGAAACCTGGGGAGGGTCTTTTATTAATCTTGGACATCCCCAACCAATGTCAAATTTACTGTAATAATCATTCTTCCTGATTTTATTTGCAGAGAATTGCTTTTGGTGCTCGTAGGAACAAGTATGTTGCCGAGGATTAGTTTTCTTACTGCCATCTTCCAACCCAGAAGAAACCTAGGGATATTCTTGTTATCATATTTTAGAAGTCCATTCTTTTCCTGTAAAAATAGGATGTATCACTGAGGGCATCTTGAGAACACAGCAATGTACTCCTCATATATACAATACATGTAATTTGATTACACCTCATCAAATTACAGTTCATCTGGATTATTTATGGACCTTATGATCTAGTTGCATGTTGCATTTTCAATGCAAGAGGAGCCCATGATACATCTATGCACCTACACATTAAGGCTGAAAACCATTTTTCCTTGTTACTTCCTATAACTTGTGTAGTCTTGCCTAACTTATCTGTTGGGACAAGTTCGTCGTGCAATTAAGCTCCTATGATAGATTTATTGTGTTTGTACAACTTTTTTTTTTCCTCTTCATTGAAAGGCATGCGGATGGCATTGCAATGACAAGACATGGTCATGCACTCATGCTGCTACCTTGCTGCTTGGTGTTTGGCAGCATAGGGTAGGACTTTGATCACATCTCACACATCCAGATTGCCTGATAAGTCAACCTCAACACTTACTACTGCACCTAAATTATCATTCTGGTTATTTACTTCTCTGTCACATTCCTGATAAGTTAATGTGATGTGCACCATTCATGGATTTGGCAGAGTCTGCTCGTGCTATCGCAACATCAACTCTTGTTGCTTTGTTGCCATTCAGAAGGCTTTATTTCTCTGCAAATCATTCCACCCATACAAACCAACTGTGAATTGTGACGTGTTATGTTAGTGTGATAGAATATGGCTGGCTACACAAAGATAGTGAAGTATCTCTAGTCTCTTACAAGAACTGTATAAAGGGATGACTGGCTTGATAGAGAAGGAGACTATCACTCTCTCTTCTCGCTAAAAGATATGACATACATTCCCAGTTCCTTTTGCTTCCTCGCACATACCGGTATGCGCATGTTAATGATTTTAGTTTCTTTTTTGGTATTTTTGTGCATTCTTTTTTCTAATGTAGGATGGCCAGAGCATTGATTTGCCTGCTTGATCTCCAATTTGTATTTGAAAATATTTTTCTGTATCTATATGGGCATATGTGCACGTTTAAAAAATAAACAAATTTTGATGGATTCTGTCTCTTGTAGTTACACAAGCTGCTGTATTGTCGTTTTGCTGGTCTGCATTGCCTTGGTTTTAAAAGGTGTCTCAAGCTTTCTGATTTCCTTGATCTTTGACAGGTGTGAGCTTGATTTGCTGACTGATGTCCAACGGCAAGCCGACATATAACAGTGACTCTTCTTACATGTCGAGCATACCGGTCTGTTGCTTTCTCAGGGCAATGCAGCCGACAAGTAGTTTACTTCGCTGGACCGATGATCTCCATAAGATCTTCCTGGAAGCTGTAGAGTATCAAGGAGGCCCCTATGGTTTGGTTTCTTGAACTTTGAGCATACGATGTCAAACAATTCATTCTCTGTTACTTGGATCTGAAACTTCTCGATGAAACTGATGCTGTGCTACTCAACCGTCGCAACTCCTTAGAGGTGAAGCCAACTGCGGTGAAGGAGAAAATGGAAGCTATGGGAGTCACAGGCCTCACAATCTGGAACATAAAAAGCCACCTCCAGGTACCTCCTGCCCTCTTGCAGCTCTTCATAGATACTTTGAGGGTTTTCGTTCTGCGGTGCGGGGTCTCAACACACTTGGCTTGCTCTTGTGTGCCAGAGATAGAGGGAGAAGTGCAATTTAGGACCTGAACCTCCTCGGGATGTCCGAGGCACTGCATCACCAAGGAAGGCTGGAGATAATGTGTATGGTTCTCTGATGCAATGGAATTGTTGGATCTGCATGCCTTTGTGTTCTCTATTTATTTATTTATTTATTTGTATTTTAGATCTGACTGACTGATTGATTATTGAGCTTGTTCATAAGTTCTGTAACTTGTTCTGGTGTGTAGGACATCTGACTGAAATGGAGGTACTCCTCATCATCGTTGATAGCCTGGCCTGGACAGTGGACAAGCATATACCATCATCCAAAGGCAAGATCTGGTCAGTCTTAGTACATTTCAGGGCCATATAACAGTAGAGGGAACACACTTGCCATACCATGCCAGGAAGGTTAGGATCATAGTATGGCTGCCGCCTGCAGGTATCTGCATCTGTGGCAACCCAACCCCAGACCCGGCCATCTTTTAGCACGAGGGCACACCGTCGTTGCCTCACCGTCGCGCTCTAGGAGTAGGATGTCACGCTCTAGTAGTAGGATGGCGTGCCACGCCAGGGAGCAAGCTCTAACGACGTTGCCGCCAAGGCCACCACGACGCCGCACTTCGTGTTCGTCCCGCTGATGCACCACGGCCACCTGATCCCGGCGGTGGACGCGGCGTTGCAGCTGGCCACCCACTCTAAAAAGCCCCCAGCCCAACAAAATCCCAGCACCACAACGCCAAACAAGGATATATGTCAACAGAAGGGGGAAATGTGAATCCAACGACTGAAGAATAGCGCATTTAACAAGGCCAAGCAGTGAACAAATTAAGGCAGCGACGCATAACAGTAGTAGCAGCTAGCTAGTTTATGGAAACCAAACGTGCTAAAGTACAGAATGTCACAGCGCAATGTCATCCACTTGCTGATGGCAGAATGCTCGCTAATTAATTAGGACATCATAACACACACAGCAGGAAGCATCATATATGGTCTCACTTCACAGCTGATAGCATCACACACTCCTATCTAGCCGTGTCCACGGAGGAGAGAAGACTCACTCATCCAGAGACACAGACTCATCCTCTGAATCTGAATCTGGACTGCTCTCATCCGGCGCCCATGAATCTGAACTGGGCTCATTCGGCTCATCCTGTGAATCCGACATGTTCAAATTCCGCGCGAGCTCCACGTCCAACTCGGAACTGAAGTGCACGAGGTCCATCTCTAGCATGTCATCCACGCTGCGGGTTCCCTTATGGGTGATATCGTCGTCACTGATGTACTTGGCGTCATCTGGATACACAATCTTCCTTGCGGAAATCATGTCATAGTAGCAACGTCCTATTAACAAAATAAAACCCGGATCAGTAAGATGATAATAAGCCAATTCAGATTTATGATGAGTAGTGCATTCAAGCATCGTGAGAAGCAGATCGCCGTGACTCAAAGTACTAATCAAATGCTATCACTTGCTAATCAGCCGTGCCGTGGCAGAGAAGTAGATGACTTACCCGCATATGCATAGGGCAGAGGGCAGCAGAATGCCGCTGTCCTTGGCTTGCGTGTTGCGTACCACAACTCGGCGTAAAATAGGGTCCTCAGAACATTCTCATCACAAGTTGCCATGAAGTTCACTAGGTAGCACGTATCAGTGAAGGGGGCGCAGCCTTCCTGTCTTTGATCCATACCAATTATAAAATCAAGTTCATACTTTGGTCCCTACAGCAAGCAAGAAATTAAGAAGCAAGAGTGTTTGTTGGTCAAATCAAGTTAAAGCTAATATACGTACGTAAGTAGCAGCTAATGATTGAAAACAGAGGAAGTCCAATGCCTACCCAAAAATGATGGTCCGTATAATCCTTGAGCACCTGTTCAATCTTTGAACGCAGCCAGCTCCTCCAATGCTCATACTGTGATCTCACGCTTGATACCCGCCTCAAGGCCTCTACACTAAGTTCAGGAGCAGGAGCTTGCATGGTGCCACTAGTTTGAGGTCTGGATGTTTCTTTGAACTTGGACCACAAGGCCGACATAAGAAATCTGATGTCATCGACGCACAACACACCACCACTAGTTTGCGCATTGGTTATATGTGAGACCAGGCGTTTTCGGCCTTCGGGATCGAGCAGCAGCATCCGGTGAAATTCACCTAGCTGAAGGGGCAGCGTCTGTCTAGCAGCCATGGCCGCCTCGTGGAAGGGGTTCTTATCAGACCTCTTTGTTGTAGATGATAACATGTCAACAAGGTTGCATTTTGCACTACAGAGTTTCTCTAGAGCACAAGCAATTGAGGATTGGGGGTCGGCGAACAAAGCAAGGTTTGCAAGCCCCTCGAGGGAACGGACAACTAGGCGGAGCAGAGATAGGGGGTCCAGGATGTCATTGTACTCTTTCAACATCATGCGGTCAGAAGCCGGGAGAACGGAGCCACACGTCTCATGCCAGACTGAGTTAATGATGATGTTGGAGAGAGGGTCACAGGGGCCATAGCAATGGCCGGCCATGAGGATGCTGCGCATGATGGAGCCCGAGGGTGCGTGCAGCATCTTGAAGGCCTGGACGTACAGGTTGTGAATCATGCCATAGAGGTACATCTTGAGAGACCGCAGGTAATCGCAGTTGTCGCCACCACACGAGGCGATGAGAAAGTGTTCTCTGGAAATTTGCTATCATCAGGCAATCTTGCAGCTTGCTAGGCAGTCCGGACTGCAGAGACGAGATGGCGGTCCCATCGCAGCGGAAGGTGGTGGAGGTGATCCTGGTGTGAGCTGCTGCACTAGAAGAGACAAGGGGCTTTGTCTCGGACCAGATAGCGCCATCGTCGAGGTTGTGACGGGCATGGACAACCAGCCCATCTTTGGTGTTGCTAATGTTGGCAACACACATCGGGGTCATCATCATGTGCAACCCACGGTGGATTTCCTGGGCATCCTCAGCCGTGAGAGGGTCATTGGCCGAAAACAGATGCCTGTTGAAGAGGTCGAGGTCGCCCTGTTTGAGCCGGATTGCCATGACCTGAGCAATGGTGGCGGGCGAACAGTGGCCTGCGTTGGTGGCCGCCCACTCAAGGGCGGCCTTGGTCCTGTCGGATTCAGGGTCCAGTGCCTCCTCCTTGGTATGGTAGAGGTCGTGCTGGACGAGCATGACGGCGAGGAGGAGATTGGCGCCGGCCCTGTAGAGGTAGCGGAAGGCCTGTGCCTCGTTGATGCATCCGAAGTATGCCACAAGGAAAGCCATGAGACTCTGGGCGGACCTGCATGCAACCTCGTGCCAGGGGTCGAAACCGGGTCTGTGTCTCTTTCTCTTGGACCTCATGCTCTCATCGTCGGACTCCGCCTCATCGGACTCCGTCTTGGCCTCGACTTCGACGAGGGTGGTGGGGAGGAGGGCGAGGGTGTTGAGGATGATGTTGGAGACGGGGTCGAGGGGGCCGAGGCAGAGGCCGTCTGTGCTGAGGAGGCCGTAAAGGTCGGGCATGGCCTTGCAGGGCAGCCGGAGCCGGCGGAACGCCTCGTCGTAGAGACCGACGATGAGCTTGCGCGTGGCATGGCGCAAATCGTCGTCGTGGGGAAGAGGCCCATACTCGTGGCGGCAGTTGAGGCTGTGCAAGCACGAGATGAGCCCCCTCCGAGAGCTAGAGTCGCCGGAAGAAGTGGATCCAGACAAGGACCCAAGTGGAACGGAGCCGCCGGAAAAAGTGGATCCAGACGCCATCTGCGAGCAGAGACGGCGGACGGAGCCGGCGTTTTTCTCTGGGCGTCGTCGACCGTCTTGCGGGGAGAAGAGCAGATCGATCGAGTTGCCTCCTTGTCCCCGTGACCATATATATATATGTTCTTTCCCTCGCTCGTCTAGTCGTCCTTGACTCGGCCTCCTTTTCCCGTGGCCCTGCCTCTTTCTTTTCTTGGCAGTAAACGAGTCGGTGTCTGGAGACCGTTTTGGCTCCTCCTTCCTTCCTCGACCGATCGACCAACCGCCTTTCTCCGTACGTAACGTTCCCCACGTATGCAAACTACCTAGGCCCACATGGCCACGTCTCCAATCAAACGTTCCAAGAGACATCAATCCAACGATGGAGCACTAGTCTGATCTAGTATTTGTGAACGCATATATGGACGTGTGTGGCAACGATCACGTATGATAATTAAAGTGCATGCCCTTTTTGGCTTAGCTAAGGCATATGCATGCACACATGGGCCACGAGCTGAATTGTTAATAGTTTCAGTACTCCGGAATCCGTGATCTCGCTCCTTTGCCGATGACGATAGCTGGACACACGAGCCCTGCCGTGTTGCTGCTTTCTCTAAATTTAAGAATATGGACGCCGATAAGTGCCACACGTGTGGAAGTTAGAGAATCTGTCCATACATTTTGTATGGTGTATAAGAGGAATAGCCCGTATATTTATGTGTGGGCAAAACAAGTAATGCCCACACACCTCTTTTTTCCCTCCCGATCCCTCTCACATGCGTGTGTGTGGGCGAAATAGATAACGCCCACACGCCCCGTACGTCAGGCCTCGTACCTCGTGGTTCCGCATGTCCCACGTGACAGTCACCGCGCGTCCCGCAGTTGCCATGGTCCAGACCCTCGTCCATATTCGTTTAACTGTAGTTGCCATGTCGCTGAACTTCGGTTGCCATGTCGGACAACTACAGTTGCCATGGTTGCTCAACTGCAGTTGCCATATATGGTTTGGCCTACTGCGGTTGTTATGATTTCAAAACTTTAGGAGTTGCCACCCACTAACACTAGGCAGTTGCCATAGAGCACTACAAAAAGGCATGGCAAAAAAACATGTTCCGGTAAAAGAGAGAGTTGCCATGTGCTCACAAGTACGCTAGGGCCGTTGCCATGTAAAAAGAAAGAGTTGCCATCTGCTTACGTGCATACTAGGGCAGTTGCCATGTACCATGCAAAAACACATGAGAACTCGGGTAAAAGAGAGTTGCCATCTGCTTACAAGTAAAGCTAGGGCAGTTGCCATGTACCCTGTAGAAACGCATGGCAACCGCCGCTTTGGGTGTGGGCGAGGAGACGGGCGTGTGGGCGAAGTGATAAACGCCCACACACCAGCCCCCTCTGCGTGCGTGAAAACTGGTGTGTGGGCGAATTGCTAAACGCCCACACACCAGCCCCCCGTGTGGTGAAAAAGGACGTGTGGACGACCGGATGAATGCCCACACAC